AAAAAATTTGGGAATTTTGGGCAAATCCCAAAAAATTCCGGAATTTTGGGGCCGGTTTTGGGTTGAAAATGGGGAAAAATTCGGAATTTTGGGCATTTTTTGGCCATTTTTAGAATTTTTGGGGGAATTTTTGGGAAAATTGGAGAACAAAATTGGAATCCTTTATTTTTTTTCCTTAAAAAATTTGGGAATTTTGGGCAAATCCCGAAAAATTCCGGAGTTTTGGGGCCAGTTTTGGGTTGAAAATGGGGAAAAAATTCGGAATTTTTGGGCATTTTTGGGGACATTTAGTGGCCCCAGCTGTGCCAGGTGAGTGCCCAGGTGTGCCCAGGTGAGTGCCCAGGTGTGCCCAGGTGTGCCCAGGTGTGCCCAGGTGTGCCCAGGTGTGCCCAGGTGTGCCCAGGTGAGTGCCCAGGTGTGTTTTTACCCCCCAGGTGTGCCCAGGTGAGTGCCCAGGTACCCCAAAATGTGCCCAGGTGTGTTTTTAACCCCTCCAACCGCCCCCAGGTGTGCCCAGGTGTGCCCAGGTGCCCCCAAATGTGCTCAGGTGAGTGCCCAGGTGTGCCCAGGTGAGTTCCCAGCCATTCCCAGGTGTGCCAGGTGTGCCCAGGTGAGTTCCCAGGTGCCCTCAGGTGTGCCCAGGTGTGTTTTTACCCCCCCAGGTGTGCCCAGGTGAGTTCCCAGGTACCTCCCAGGTGTGCCCAGGTGCCCTCAGGTGTGCCCAGGTGTGCCCAGGTGAGTTCCCAGGTACCTCCCAGGTGTGCCCAGGTGTGTTTTGGGTGCGCCCAGGTGTGCCCAGGTGATCTCAGGTGTGCCCAGGTGAGTGCCCAGGTGCCCTCAGGTGTGCTTTTACCCCCCCAGGTGAGTGCCCAGGTGCCCCCGGGTGTGTTTTTAACCCCTCCAACCGCCCTCAGGTGTGCCCAGGTGTACCCAAAATATGCCCCCAGGTACCCCAGGTGTGCCAGGTGTGCCAGGTGTGCCAGGTGTGCCAGGTGTGCCAGGTGTGCCAGGTGTGCCCACCTTGGAGAAGTAGCCGACGATGTGGGCGCCCTGGTGGTCGACCTCGGTGAGCCCCAAATGTGCCCAGGTGAGTTCCCAGGTGTGCCCAGGTGTGTTTTTAACCCCTCCAACTGTGCCCAGGTGCCCCCAGGTGTGCCCAGGTGAGTTCCCAGCCATTCCCAGGTGAGTGCCCAGGTGTGCCCAGGTGTGTTTTTAACCCCTCCAACCGCCCCCAGGTGTGCCCAGGTGAGTTCCCAGCCATTCCCAGGTGTGCCAGGTGTGTTTTTACCCCCCCAGGTGTGCCCAGGTGCCCTCAGGTGTGCCCAGGTGAGTTCCCAGCCATTCCCAGGTGTGCCC